CCAATTGCAAGTATTGATAATCTTTTTGTCCTATGAACTCTAACCTCTTGTCCATCTGTGTATTTCAGCATTTTGAATCTTTATAAAGGTATTCTTTGGGTTAGATTGCGTAAATATAAATGTGTTGTTCAATTCGCCACCACCGCGAAAGCCTACGTGTTAAACTGATTTGATCCTTGTCTGCCTTATATAATTGTGTTTACATATGTTGAACTTCTTTTGCACCATACGTAGCCAACCGTGCTAATCGGCCTCAATAATTTTTATTTAAATTTTGATTTAAAGCTTTCGTGACTGCCGTGATTCATATTCTTGGTTCTTTCGGTAAAGTCATGTTGAAGGGAAACAATAAAATAATAAAATATATATAAAACAAAATTCTCACGACGTTTCGACTGCAACACAAGCAGTCATCATCAGGTGTGAAAACCAACGGCAAGAACATTTGAAATGTTTTCTAATAGTGAATATTCTACTCTGCAACATACCATTGTAGCTGAAGAATAATTTTTTCATCACTGTATAATACCTATTATGACATTGATTTATTTAAAACATAGAAAACTAGAAAGAAAATTGAGCAAAAGGTGAAATGTGCACAAACAAGTGTGGAGAGATGCATGCTTGAAATGACCTCGAGAGACAGGGAGGAACACATGAATTAGTCGAACGTATTCAAGTTAGAGAAATCATGTTTACTGTCAAGAACAAAATTGATTGTAACAATCTGGCCAAATGCAAGATTGTTGCATCGTAAGACCTTGAGAGATGATGATGGTTGGGGGAGGTCTTCATCCAGCAGTGAATTGATATTGGACAATGAATGATGCTTATTTGAAAATTGGTGGGTCAGCTGTTTTCCTGTATATCCTCCTTCCTCCACAGGTTTCCGATCGCCATCAGTCAGCTACAATATTACCTGCTTGTGCCACCGCACCTGTACTTTTGGTCATCCATTGTATCTCTCTTCGCTCCTGTGATACTAAAATACAGCCCATGGTAGAAATCTCCCCAGGATGACTCACAACCTCATCTCTATATTAAGGACCAGGACTGTCACTGCCAGGTGTTGTTTCTCCACGGCAGCCCCCGTTGTCTGGAACGCCACTCCGCTGCAAATTCGCAGCATGCAATCTACAAATACTTTTCAGAGACCTAAAGGTCCACTTTGTTTGGTTGGCAACACTGTGCTTGGCTCCGTGCCTCAGAGTCACGGTCATTTATGTCTGTGAAATATTGCACGTGCTATAAATTGCACTGTTATATGTATTGAATAGTATTCATGTGTTTTTTTTTTCTATTGCACAAACAGCACAAAGAGGGAACAGTGAAAATAAAGGTACAGCATGGTCTCACTAATCTCGATTAATTTGGGCCGGACCCCAACTGGAATAATGAAAAATAAACTATTGCATGGTGGACGAGCATGATTCTTGCCAAACGAAAAAATATGTATGATAACAGAAATATGAGAAACATTCCAACGTCAAAGATGTAATGGACAGAAGTTGGCTACCTTGGAGCAAACCTATTTTCTAGGGTATAGTAAGCTGTATTAAGCATAGTTACTTGATAATTTTATAAAGTGATGTAAATAGCAGTTTTGGAGGGGTTTTGGAGCATGGATAATACGCGTGTTGGAATCATTTTGGATAAAATATCACACGATTTGTGAATGAACAAAACGTTGCCGAAACTGAACAGTGACATGTCAAAATATATACTGTAAATCATGCTGAGCCTATATTAGACTTGGGTGGCAGGGTGATGCAATGATAACGCTTGCGCCTCACTGTAAGATGCACCTGAGTTCCATTTTCGATTTGTGTGCCTTTCCATGTGGAGTTTGTATATTCTCCTACTGTTGTTCATGTCTTTCCTCTGGGTTCTCTGCTTTACTCCCAAAAGCTAAAACAAATAATAAAATTAGTATTGGTCCAACATCTCAATGCTGAAAGGTGACTGGGAAATTACTCTATTGGAATTACATATAACGATATTATCCCCATTCTTAATCTATTGATCGATAACAGTCCCTCCATACCATGTTGGAAATGGTGACTGACCATGATTCACCATACTGATGCTAGCTGTGGGTGGGAGTTGAACGCAGGTCAGAGAGCAGGGACGGAGCCGGGGGGGGACAGGGGTGACATTCTGCGTATAAGTGTACGACACTCGGTTTAGCGGACTCCGTGCAACTGCATTGTCAGAGTGTGTCGCCAACCGATGGCGTCTAGTTCAACAGCCTGACTCTCTAATCATTCTTGAAATTAAAATTTGTTGAATGTCACCCCGGCCTGAAATCCTGGCTCCGCCCCTGTCAGAGAGTGTATATCTGGTGTGCCACTGTGCTACCCCAACAATACAGCACTACAATACTGGTCTGGATACAGTAATTTTGTTTAAAATTTTATTCATGGAAATACATTAACGGTTTTTTTTTAATTCTTTAAGATTTTAACTGTGGTCATGGAGTTGCAATCTTATACATGTACTTAGGGTTTTGAGTACAATAAACTTGAAACCGTATTCTTGTCTGCAATTTTTGGATTCCTCTTGGTGGTAACCCTTTTCTCGATATTCCATCAGGAGCTTGCCTATCCATTTTAATCCATTATATGCATTTTCAAAGTTTGTTGTACAATACAATAGTTTTGATTTATATGGCTTCACTATCAAAATTCTGTACAGTACAGTGGAACATGGGTATCCTGGGGAAAGAGGGGACACGTATTTAGTATGGAGAAATAGACCAGTCTTGAACCTACATTTTAACAGGCGCAGGGATTAGTCCCTGCCTGTAGAGGCAAACGTTGCAATAGTCGAGTTGAAATGTAATGAAGGCATGGTTGAGGGACTCGGCGGCAGATGGTAAAAGGAAACGGTGGATGTGGGAGATGTGCAATGGGGGGATAACGTCCTGCAGACTTGTGTTATGTGGGAAGAGAACGAGAGCTCATTCCCAATGTCAATTATAAGTACTGAACACCGTTTGCCAGAGTTTAAGAGGTCCACGTGTTGTTTGAGCTATGCTTTTGTAACCTAAAGTTGCAGTATCAATTGTCGCTCACCTGGTTGTAAGTAAAACATATATACAAATGACTCTCCTTCTAAAGTCAATTACTTTGGAATTTGACTCTTTATCACAGTTTAACTTTCTAAATGTTCACTTTCTTCCAGTGGTTGAACATTAATTTGCATGGCTCTGGTTCACCTGATCAGCATATGAACACACGTAATGTTTATGTAGTAGTTTCCACAATGATCTTGCAATATTAACAGCTTTTTAGTCAGGCGAGATAAAACGAATTAAATACGGGAAGAATGTGAATATTAATATGTTGAATGTATGCTTTTGTGTGCTCTTTTTCATCACGTATTTTTTATCTTATGCAGCGTATTGATAATTATAATTTGTGGTGACCAATATGCACTGCCACATGGTGCATGTAAATGTCACAAGGTTATACAATATTTTATTTAAATTCAAAGCACGTGTTTTTTGAGCCATTTTATGAAAATACAATTAAATATTCTCAAGAGATGTATTTGTACTATACAGTGACCTCTGATAAGCACGGTTGGCTACGTACGAAAGAAGTTAAACATACAATGCCAAATGATGATGCAAGCACTCTGACAAAAGTATTCATGACTCACAAATCACAGCTGTGATAATTTATGTATGTTGAACTTACTTCACACCGTACGTACCCAACCGTGCTAATAACAATAATGATGTAGGAAGTCTCCCAAAGCATACAGGACTAAAATCGCAGTCGTGATGATGATGACAATACATGGTGTACTTATATCTAAAGGTGGTTCAGTTTTTTTCTGTTTCATTTATTTGGTATAGCCCTTGAGCCATTCGGCTCTTGAATCGGGTGCAACCGCAACAAACAAAAACATGAGCAAGAAAAACATCTTAAAGTGACTACGCGCAACATAATACATCCAGGAAAAACAGCAAAGTCCTCCAGAAAAAGCACCGAATATCAATGCTGTGTGCAAAAATGCCAGTGGGATGCAAGTCAAACAATAACAACCATAAGACAATTTAGATTAGAGTTATCAGTCTAACGCTGTACTACAACAAACAAACATGGCTAAATCATAGAGTCTGCCACTAGCATGCAGAACTTATATCACATCTGTGATTTACAGCACATCTGTGATATAAGTTGCCACAAGTGTGCAAGACCCATATCGTCACAACTCCAAATATGATGCAAGGAGTCTGCTACAAGGGTGCAGGACTTGCACCTTTACGATTGTGATGATGGCGATGATTACATCTGAACGAATAATATGGTGAACGATTGATGATTATGAATATCTAATGATTAGATGGTTATTAATGATTAGCTGACGATGATTTATTCCTGATGCTGATGGTGATATTCTGGTGATGGAATGGCAGTCAAAGGTGGCAAAACGCCCAAGAGCAAGACTTCCGAGATGGAATGATGATATAATCTCAAGTGCAGGAGCGAATTAGCTTGTGGCATCGCAAGATCGTAAGGGATGGTGATGACGTGTGGAATTATATATCAAGCAGTGGATAGATCATGGATGACGAGAGACGCCGTTTTATGCTGATGAAATGATTCATGCTTCATTGATGATGAACAATGGATTAAATTCCTGATTGTATGATTAATTATTGATGCTGAATGATGCATAAAACGAACGATTGTCTGACGATTATGAAATGAACGATCGGATGATGATTATGACGAATGATGAAATTCATGGGCGAATTATTACATGTATTCCTTGATAATGATGATGAAATAAATTATTTGTTGAATTCTGAAATCATGTGATGACGAATGAAGATTGTTTTGACGACGACGACGATGAAATTCACGATCTTATAATAACGAATGATTGGATGTGGATGATGATGATGATTGCCATATTCTGGTAGATAACAATCCCACCCACCACCGCTCCGCCCCCTTAGCACGATCGAGGAGCAGGAGGGGGAGGGGCGAGAGGCGGGTCTCGGACTGCCTCCCGCTCCCTCCCGGCCGCTCCCCCGGTACCCCTGCATCACCCAACCCGGTCCCGTACCCGGGTCCCGCTCGCCTCCTCCTCCTCACCCACCCCGCCTCGCTCCGCGCCTTGTTCCTCCCCGAAGCAGCAGCAGCAACAGCGAGCGGTGGGGTAAGGGGGGGGGGTGGTGGTGGTGGGATGCGCGCTGTTGGCTTTGGGTCGAGAGAGGGGACTCTGCTTCAGCTGTCGGTGCCGCTGACCGCCGCGCGCACACGGGCATCGTAAGCATCCTCACAACATCACCATCTCATCATTGTCAGCACCACCACCAACACCAACACCGCCACCACCACCTCCTCAACCGCCGTCGTCGTGGTTGCAACCGCGAGGAGTTGCGTGGCCCCGCTGGGCACATGGAGGAGGAGGGAGCCACGCAGGAGCGCGGCCCGGCCTCGGGTGCCCTCGCGCGACGGAAGCCCTCGCCACCGACGGCTCAGCCGGACCGGGAAGCCGCGGCCCTCGAGGCCACCGTCGCGGCCGCCGCCGCGGCCGCCGCCGCCTCCGCCGCCTCCTCCCCCGAGCACCCTCGGGCGGTGGCCAACGGCTGCTGCGGGGGCCCCGAGGAGGCGAGCGCCGGGGATGCGGTGCCCCTCAGTCCCCTGAGTCTCCGGGACGCTCCGAGCCCCGTGAGTCCCGACGCAGAGGGATGCGAGAGCCCTGCCGAGCTCGGCGGCAGCCTGGGTCTGCCGAGGAGGAGCAGCATCATCAAGGTGAGAGGAGGACCTGTTCGCTTTCGTGTGTTGCGGTGCCCCCGTAGCCCAACAGCATTCCAAGGATGGGATGGGATGGGGGGAGACGGGGGGTAGAAGACGCCTGCCATGCGCAGGGCCGAGCGCGTTCAGCGGACGTTGAGCCTCGCTGCTGCTCATCTCGCGCTCGGGTTGTTCCACGAGTGCCGAGGAGCAATCTTCCACACATTAGCCCACTTCATTTAAGCACCGTGCACTTCACACACGGATCATCAACCTGCCATTGTTCTGCAACATCATCCTTCGTATTCCCAACCGCGGGCGGTCTTCAAGATTTTAACGACGTTTGTCCATCACTACTGCCAGGCTGAGAACACCTCGCATCAATCAGCGTTATCGTCTTCGTCACTGGCGTTCTCCTACACCTCGTCACCCTTTCGACATTTAGCGTTGATCTAGTTTGTGATCATCATCGTCACTGTCATCTTCATCACTTAGCATTCTTACGCCTGTGTCGTCATCCTCGTAGCCCAAGTCGCCTGCTGGATCTCGCGTGCTCCGGAATCTTCATCATCACCATCACCTAATATCCTACAACCTCGCGTCATTCATCCCCACGCATTCCCTTACATTTCGTAGCCATCGTTGTGTCGTCTAGCTATCTCATAAATATGTCATCGATTATCCTAGCCATCATCTTCACTAGTTAGCGTCCTTTAACTTCATCGCCCGATGTCCATCATATCCACAACATAGTTGGCATCTTTTACGCCTCCCACGCTAATTCATCATTAGCCAAACATTTGCATAAACGTCTTCATTAACAGACCTATCTTTGGACACTTAACATTAATAATTTAACGTCATTCTCTACCAGTGCTTCATCATAAATGTGATTGACGTTTAAAAAAAAAATAGTGACACATTATAAGCTTCGTTCGGAACTACATTTCAAAGACCACACCCATTAAAGGACTTCGGTGTACAGTACATGGCTTTGATGTTAGTGAATAGTTAGTTGGCTAGCGTATTGTGGGAACCTCCTCTTATTGATTATGGTTGCAGGCTGCTAGAGCAAAATGTCAAAGCCGGCAGCTGTGGAGACTTTCGGTGGGTGGGTTTAGTGTGTCTCTTACTGGGCCAGATTATCAATGACATGCACATTCAAAAGCCCCCTTTTGGCAATTCACTGCCAGATGAGGGTCGTACTCGCACCTTTTTCGGGTGGTTGTGGGGGGGGTATATGCCCATTGCCCATGCTTCTCATCATGCTCCGCTGCGTGTTTAATGACAGCGGTGTTCCAAATACATTGGGTGCATGGTACAGCACAATTAATGTTGTTCCAGTTGCTCACTGTTGGTCGCAACGTAGCCAAACATCCTCCCACGCTTGTTCTACGCACGCAACACCACACTATCCAGGCTAAAACGTATTGCTTTTAACTTCTGATATCTGACGAAATTGGGGGCATTTATTTCAGGTCATTTGGTCGTAGGACGTCATTCTAGGTAATTTGGTTGTAGGCCATCATTAAAACTCCCTTCTGCAGTAATTTGAAAACCCCATAATAAGGTCACTTTTGGCCAAAGGGGGGAGGGGGGGGGGGGGGATCCTCGTTCTGCAGAGCCCTCGGCTCATTTGGGGCTGGCCACGGCCAAATCTGCATGCATCACACCGCAGCCAAGGCGCTCGGTCGGTGAAGTTTATTTGACATTGCCACCGAGGCAGTTCGCAAAGTCAACACCTGCCTGTGTGCTGTGTGGGAAGGAAAAGTATGTGCTCCTCGCCACCGAGTCACACAGGCGCACATTGATCCATGCACGTGGGAAGCACCCTGGTACTGGCGTGAGGATACATTGCCGATGCTGGCATCAGGAATGTACAGTTACAAAGGAAAGCCATTAGGAATGTATTTATGTAAGTGCACAAGAGCTCCCTGATGTTGGCGCAGACTGGTGTTGGCCACTGATGTTACCATAAATAATAATGATAGTTACACAATTACCAATTACTATCAATAGTACACTGATAAGAGTGTGAGTATATATACGGATGTGAGCCACGCAATGGTTATTTGACGTTGGCACACACTGTTGTGAATAATTTACAACGTTGGTGTGCATCATCACTTGCCGAGCACGTTCGGTCAGAATTCACGTGGGCATAGAGGACCCAAAATAAGCAATGTCGAGCAGATTAGATGGTGATATATTGCGTGTGCGGTGGTGCACAAGCTAAAAACAACAAGACACTACACACATTTGTCAATAACCACTGCCTTAAAAGTAAAACAATATACGGTGGCTTTTTGGGCTATGAACAAGGATCAAGTCATTGCCGAAAATGTCACCTATTATATTTTCCCCTTTAAGTCCACAAGTGTCATTGACAAAATGTCTTCAGTTGTACGTTGAGTGGGCTTTTATGACTTCGTAATTTTATTGTTACATGTTTATCGCTTATTCGATTAAAATTTTTTATTTTAGACGTCTGTTGTAAGGTGTGCATGCACGCCAGTAAGTTTCCAGTGAGCGGGGCTCAATTTTTTTAATTAAGCGCTCGAACTGCGCCGTTTTACATTCGGAAAGCACGCTGATTTACAAAAAAAACAGATGCGGTAGAATAGCTGCCGTGCAACGTGGCGTAACGAGGCTTCTTGTAAGGTGTGCCTGGAGGTGCATGCGTATTCAGCGTTGGAGGCTGCTTGAGTACCTATTGCTTTGACGAGCCGTTAACAGCTGTATAGGTATACACCGCTTTTTTTCATCAAGTGCCTCTTTGCTGGTAGAAGGCGAAGACCTTTTGCTAAATTGTGCCCGAGGCAATCTACGCTGAGGAGTGTGTGTGTGTGTGTGCACGTGGTTTGCAGTTTTACACATGCGCAGCAATGTGTATTAAATTAATATATAAGCACAAATACTGTAAATAAGAAGTCGGTTCGATTTCATGCAAGTGCCTGCATGAGTCCATCCCGTGACACACGTTCATAAACCAGAATAAGTTTCATTTTATGGCTTTTCGTGTTCTTCCCGTTAAAGTCACGATTTTACGGTCCTGTACTTCTAAATGGTGCATTGAAATATATCCGCGTTGTTAATACAGTGCATGCTATAATTTGAGCTGGAGTCGTACGTAAATGTAAATGGATACGAACAGAACACCGTCTTGATGTGACCATTGCTACATGCGACGTGCATGCTCCGGCAAATAAAACTTTACTAAACTGGAGAAAAGAACTGACGGTGAACGTCGACGGAGTTGTGACGCTCCTATTTCAAACAAAATTTGTACAGTCCCAGTACTACGGTGATAGCGGAGCGCAAGTGAAATGCCATACATTCTCTCGTTTGCCTCTTTTAGGTGCCAGAGAGGAATTAACCCTCAGCCCTTCGCACTCACATTGCTTCACACGCACCACTTGTTGTTCTGCTGGTGCTGTTTTATTTACCATGACGGTGAACCGTCTCAAGGTGATTAAGCCTTTATCTAGAAGCTACAAGTCCCCCCTTGCACAAAACCAGTTCTCGGCATCTCTGTTAAAGAATTTCGCCAAGATTTCTTAGTAGAAAGCCGCGGGATGCATTGATCACAGGTCTGAGTCACGTCTCACAACACCAGTTTGATCGTGTTTTGAAGCAGACATCGTGAAACAAAACTGTCAAGAGAGTTGTAGAGAACAGTGTGGATGCAATGAGGCCACATTCATCATCAGATGAGCCCTTGGTGAGCCGTGTCTGTGTTTCTCACTTTTCTATTAATTTTCATGATTGTGCCTCGTACTTTTGATATGTTAATAGATCAGCCCATGGGCCATGAGGGCCACGTGACATTTCTCCAATCCTATTCTATCACCACGTACTGTTCATGTACACATTTTGGTTGGAATTGGAGCGTCACATTGCCTTAACGTTCCTTGTGAGAAAGATACATTGGGACATAGTTGGACTCTGGAGATAATGGGAAAAGAAGAGAACATACATTTAGATAGTGGCAAACCTCACAATCATAATTGCAGATATCAAAAGGGCAGTAAAATCGGTTGAATAAAAACAAATTGCTGATCAGTTTATAAAATGTATACACAAATGAAATACTTTTAATCGTGAAACAATGCTGCCTCCATCACTCATCTATGTAAAAAAAACAAGCCAGAGCTGTCTGAGAATTAGACCCATTCTCCTCTTGTCACATATATAATTTGTTCACGGAGATCATAGAGATTCAAATAATGGACAATTTAAAGGTCAATCAACAAGGTGAGAGCTGGATTTAGAACGGTTTTACTACATTAACCACATACCCACTATCGATCATATGCTAGAAAAGACAAATGAATATGAAAAGCTATTATGCCTGGCTTTTGTAATCTATGAAAAGACATTTGATTGAGTAGAAATTGATGCCGTCAAGTAAGCTGTCACAGATCAGGACCTCAAAAAAAGTTACAGAGAATTTCTGGAAACATCTATAAAGGTGAGATAGCCACACTGAGAATGAATTCAGAAATCAACAGAATACACATCAGAAGAGCAGTTCGACAATGAGATACTCTCTCCAAAGCTATTTAAAGTGAAATTTGAAAGGAAAGAGTATATTGAATAAATAAACCCCAAAACATACACGAGGAAAGTATTAATGATCTCAGATTTGACAATAACAATATCATAACGATCGACGGAAATTACCTACGCGAAATTATGTAATAACTTTACACAGAAAGTAGCCAAGTTGGGAAGTAGATGAGGAAATCACAAGTCCCATGCAACAAGTTCACAACTGGAAAACATAACAGTGTGTTTATATCGATATGTTGAAATAATGTAGAAAGAAAGAGATCAGCATAAGCACGTTTGGAAAACGAAATGTGATGGAAAAAAGTAACATAGCAGCATGCCTAAAGAGGAGAGTGCTTGCCCAATGCCTTTTGCCCACTGACACATGTACCCTTGCAAAGAAAATGGAACAAAAAAATGTTAAGTACAGTAAAACCTTGGATTGTGAGTAACTTGGTCTGCGAGTG